GGCGCCGGCCGAGATGGCCGGCGCGATGAGCTTCCTGCCGAAGTTCAGCAGGCTGCTGGACACTTTGTTGATGTTGAGGGGGGCGGCCTTTGTGCTGGAACTTGAGTCGCAGGGGAAGACAAAATGCAAAAAAATAAATCCGACAACCAATCATCATCGCGTTACAAAAGCGCTGGTTAGTGCATCAAAACCAACCGCGTGACAAACCAAATGAGTTCTCCCGACCTGAGCTTTGGGCCAGTTAAAAATAAATCAATTAAAGACACGGCTTCGTACAACCTGGAATAATTACAGAAAGACATCATACACGTTGATTTGACTCGACCGTGGCAAATGCTTTGCAGGCAACGCCATGACATCATGAACACACCATTCCTGTTTATGTCCATGATATCGCTTTTCATTTCTTCCAGAAAAGACAATTACTCGAGTGGTTACGCCAAAGTGGTCAAACCAAACGAAATTCAAACAGAGAAGCTTTAAGGTGTCCGGCCTGTAAGTCGCAGATGCTTACCACACATGACATTCATTCATTCATTTTCTCATCCGCTTAGCCTCACAAGGGTCGCGGGCGATGGCTGGAGCCTATCTCAGCCGTCTTCGGGCAGTAGGCAGGGGACACCCTGAACCGGTCGCCAGCCGACAGAAACGAACAACTGGCCACGCTCCCACTCACACCTCGGGACAATTTCGTGTTCAATCAGCCTGCCGTGCATGTTTTTGGAATGTGGGAGGAAACCGGAGTGCCCGGAGAAAACCCACAAATATGCCAACTCCACACAGGGAGGCCGGAGCAGGAATTGAAGCCGGTACCTCTGCAATGTGAGGTCGACGCGCTACCCACTGGACCACCGGGCCGCCCCACAGATGACATTCGATGTTAATTTCTAAAGTGGTCATTTTGTCAAATCAATTCTGGATAGAAATAGTTGTGTGGGTTATATTTTTTTGTCACCTGCAAGGAAAATGGGTGTTATGGGTTGGCTAGACATTTGATGTCTCATTATCAGAGAAAAACAAAAATCTGTAATTTACTTGGAATCTATTTTACATTTTTTCCCCCCGAATCGCTCAAGAAATGCTTGCACAACTTTGTATTGAAACTCTTTTACCGTGTCTTATTCATCAGGTCGGCGCCCCTCGTTTTGTAGTAATCCAGGTTCTGCTGGAACTGGTAGTTGACGGGTCGAGGGTGGTTCTCCGAGGAGCAGTGAGAGAGGATATCATCATTTTTTTTTTACAGCCGCACTAAATCTCTTTGCGGTCATCGCACACTTCTATTCGTGTGCACGATGCCCCGCCCCCAGGTGTGTAACTGTGATGTATATGAGGCGTGACATGGTCATCCACCTAAGGGCATCAATGTCACTTTGGATAAACTCCATTGAAGATCTCTTCGTATCATGAGAGGAGTGGACTGAAGTGTGAAAAGCTACCGTTTTGGTTCAATTATCTCAAAAGAGCCATTTTCAGACCCCGTTTTATACAAAAAAAAGTGGACGGCTTATCGTGTAACCAGGTTACAGGGTGCATGAAAGGGCTTACATTTGTGACCGAAAGTGTCGTCAAACGGCTTAATCTGGAATTACTAACGCTTTCTGGGAATTTGCGTGAAAAGTGGGCGATGTGCATGAACGCTGTCTGCAAGCGACAAAAGTCTCAGTGAAATGTGAAATCAAAAATTTTTTTTTTTTTTTTTTTTTTAAATCATCCCACGCAGTGAAGCATTACTTACTCGGGGATCTCGGAGAAAGAGAGCTTTCTGGAGCAGGGAGTTGATGTCACCGAGCGGCGGGTAGTGCATCAGGAGGCCGAGGCAAGTCTGGAAGTTGCTCGCAATCACTGAAACGCACAGAAGGAAATGGCATTTGCCCCGAATCCGCACGATGCTTCCTGCGATCCTTAAATATGGTGAAGGGCTTATACAGATGCAGAAACACGTTTTTTTTTTTTCAAACAACATGGATAGGCTAACAAAAAAAAAAAAAAAACATGCTAGCTTTGACTAGGTTTCAGTGTCACGTACAAGCGTCTCGGATGTAGAGCAGCATGGCCACAAAGACGTAATCCACAAGGTCCAGGGTGATGCTGTCGGCAAACAGAGCGTCCCAAACCACCAGCAGGTCCTGAAGAGGAAATTCACGACCGAACAGCAAACGCACCCAGCGGCTGAAAAGCACAAGCGAGGACGACGACTGCGTTGGTACAGCACGGATCGCACGAGAAAGAAGAACGGAAGTGGAAGAACTGACATTCCGTAGATTTGCGGGGCGATTTCCAGCCGGTTGAGATGCATGTGCAACTCCACGTCGTGCTTCTTCACCAGCTGGTCTTGGATGCGGTTGACTTTGGTCACTATGGCAACAGATGGCCCGGAGTCCTGGGGCCGAGCAAATGGGATGCTGGTAAGCATCTCTTCTTTACCCTGGAGGCACAAAGTCGCATTACCAACACGAGTATGGACTGACGATGTTGCTGCTACAATACAAAGACACACACACAAAAAAAAAAAGGTGTGCATCCGGATATGAAACTCACCCGCCTCACTTCTCTCTCATAGCAGGAGAACCACGGCTCCGCCGTTTCCATCAGGAGCGAGAAGAGTGCACTAAGGGAAAGAATCGTGTTTGCGTGACACAAAGTAGCATTATTTATTCAAGGTCCTCTTTCCCATGTCTTAAAAATATTTACACATCTGACAAAAATGCTTTGGTCTTATGTGTTAATTGGCGCAAAAAAAGAAAGCAAATGAACCATGAATTATCTGCTTCAATTAAGAGTTTTAACCCCAACCCCAAGATTCGAACCCTGAACCTCAGAATTGTGAAGCGGACGTGCAAGCCACTTGCCCACCTCGCTACCCGGGTTCAGAAATTATTCTGTTGACAAATGTGGCGAGATGTACGAGTATCTTTTTCATCAAGTTATTGTCCAATACTCACTAGGCGTCATGCTCAAGGTACAGTGGATTCAACAAGCATTTCATCTCCTCACTGTGGGGGGGGAGAAGAAAAAAAAAAAAAGAAAAGAAAAAGGCACCATTAGTCACAACTGAGAAACACACGCGATGAAAGCAGAATGAGCGCTGACTTGAGTCACTTGAGCAACGGAACCGAATTGGCAACTACTCAGGAGGCATCGCTCCCATTTAACGCAGCGGCTTCGCTCCGATATTTCTCTGATTGTGCGTATGTGGAGGGTATAGATTAAATCCGTCTGCCTCAAGACGATAAAGCTTCAACAGACAAGTAGGTGAAAGGTCAGGCTTCACGTGGAAATAGCAAGTGACCTGGGGCTCGCCGTCTCGCTGGCGTGTTGGAAGGCTTGATGGTCGCAGTGAAGCACGAACACGATGGGAGCCAGCAATTCGTGCATCCCCTACGGACAGACGGGGGATAAGACACGGGGATCATTTGTGGTCAGTCTTCCTGTAATAGTGATGCACGAGGTTTGTAATCCAGAATGACAGGTTTCATTTAGATATTGTTAGCGGCTGCCTGGCCATGTGTCACTTCCATTTTGCAAAAAAAAAAAAAAGAAGAAGAAAAGATGCTTTGCTAGCCATCTAGCCAGTTGCTGGCGCTTGTTTGCAGACACGGGTAATGATTGGATCACAGAACTCAGTTTTGGCTGGACACAAATAGGACATTTTCAAGATATAATTCAATTTTTTTTGTGGGGGGGGTAGGGGGAACCACAAAAACATGGTGCGGTTGTCAAAGAAGTGGAGAAAATGGGTGAGAATCAAGAGTGTGTGGTTTCGAGATGGGCAAGAATTGAAACCAGGTATCAGTACTGGGCCGGTTGTGCGTCAGAAAGACAAAAAGGGTCTTTGTTCACAATTATCTGTCATTGTGTTCATTGAAATTTGATGGATCATCAGTACTGGTGCTATCGGTACTTAGTATCGGGGAAGTGGATACTCGTATTGGCATCGGGAAACAAATGGTATCGAAAATCCCGAGTGTTCAGGCATGTTCGACGGCGTCGCTTTGGGTCATCAAAGCCCATACCTGCTTATAAAGTAATTGTTCATTTTCTCTGGCATAGCAGAAGAGAATGTCGGTCAGCTTGGACCGCACATCTTCATCCTGGAAGTAACAAATCTCAGGAAACCTTGAGAATTCAAAAAAATATATATATATATATTTTTTTTCGGAACCAGTGATATTTGAAACAATAGTCAACTGGATAGTCAAGTCAATTGGAATTGGAATGTTACATACGTTCTCAATACGTCTTGTTTGATCATCCCCTTCAGCTCTTTATCTTGGAAGAACTTGTTCCACAGGCTCTGGGCAGAAAAAGAAAATCAACATTTGAACAAAGGAAACAAACAAATATGACTCTGAATAGAGGCAAAATGATGATGAAGGAAGCGTAACGGCATTTAATGGCCTACTATTATTCTATCGTTGTCATAAAAAAAAAAAAAGAAAAAAAAGGGGAGGGTCAGTGAAATGACACAAAAAAAACATGACAAATCATAACAACAAAAAAGACTCAAATAAATGAAGGTTTCCAGATATTTCTGAATAATCAATTTCCTAATTAAACACTGATCCACTGGCCTTATAATGACCAAAAGCTGTGAATGAATCAATAATGAAGCACTGAAATACTTTATAATCAAGCCAACTGTACAGTCTCAAGGGACTAGACTGTATTCAGGTCAATTTTCAGATGCAAATGAGAAAACGTGACGAACACAAAGATTGAAGGAAGGCACACAAAATCACATACATTTAAAAAAAAAAAAGAGATTTGTCATAATGATCAGTAACCCAACTAAATAAATATGGGAACCAGTGATGTGTTGGACTCACTCCTTCGTCCTGGGAAAGTGGATTATTGACCACCAAATCCTGTTGGCCTGCAGCCTTGCGAGGGTTCGTGATATGCTGTTGCAAAAAAAAAAAAAAAACCAAAAACAAAAACAAAAAAACATCAGGCTTCACTTTAATAAAAAAAAAAAAAAAAAAAAAAACAATGTACAATAATATTTCCTTGAATTTGGGAAACACGTTCTGGTTGGGGAAAACTCCACGATCGCTTCAATGTGAAATGTCAAGAATGAAAAGCTCTCACCGTTTCTTTAATCTTCTCATACTGTCCTCGAAGCTCCTTGGTCTTATTGATCCACTGACTCTTGTCCTCCGGAAGCGCCTCCAGATACAACTGCAGAGAACCAGAAGACACATGCAGCAAAGTACAGTCAATTGCCAACGCGAGCGCGCTCAAACTCGACGGTACGGCTTGATCCACTTGGCTGTCACCTTCCAGCATACGCTCCGAAAGCGGCTGCTCCTCAGTCTACCGCTGATGCCTGCCTGCCGGATCCTGGCCAGGTAATTACTGTTGAGGAACAAGTCGTCCCATTCTTTCCTGCACAGGGAAAGCAGGGCGGGATATTTATGAGGATCTCAACCTATGATTCATCCAAAGTGGCAACCGGCAGTAAAAACCGAGGTGGTGGTGAGCCGGGGCCCAGAGTTTATGGTGCGCCCACACAAGTAAACACCGCAAATGCTCACCTGTATGAGGGGAAGGTTGACTGTGAGTGAGTGCCGCTGTCAAGTGAGCCTCCTGCTGAGACAAACATGCCCACAAGACGGTCAGGCGAGGGTAGTCAAAATAAACATCCATCATATTTTTTTATAGGGAAAAATACAGCAGGAGCAAAGGGGGGACAAAAAAAAAAAAATCCATAAATGGAAACTTGCATTTCCAATGCTTGCACATAGCGTAACTTAAAAATGCCGGTAGCAGGTGAAGTGATGATTCAGAGCTGTACTCTTATTTGTCTTTATTGCCGGTAAGTACGTCTAATTTAGCCTGCGGGTGAACATGCGCGCAAGTCAGGAAGCTGTCTATCAACATTAATTACAGGAGTGGATCATTCCACAGGGACACTCAGGATGAATATTCATCAGTGCTGCAACACGCCAGCCCCTACATTTACCGTCACACCCCCCCTGCCCCCTCCCCGCTCCACACACACAGCCGCAGCCCTTGGATGACACAAATCACTTAAGTGACTCATACCCAACATTCAGCACAAACATTCAACTCAAAGAGGACCCAGAAAAAGATACAGCTGAACCTCAATTTAACGGAGCCGCAAAAAAATGGATCCCGGCTCGGCCGCAATTCTCCACAGCGCCAGTAAAACGGCACTGCGCAACCATCAACAGAGTTCGGTCACATGTTTCGATTTGAGCTGCGCTCTCGTCACAGAGAAAAAGACTTTCCTGTAGACTAGAGCAGGCTAAAAAGTGTGTCAATGTGGCGGCCATGTTGGCAGGGGCGACTTTCCCCATCGAAAAATGAAAATAAAATAAAATTATGGATAGATGTGGTGTCAATGTTATCAGGGGAGAGAGTTCCTTCACATGTCATGGAGTGTAGACGTTAGCTTAGCATCCGCCGCAGGCACGCAGCTAGCTCGGCTCTAACGAGAAGCCCTACCAATTAGTCTGTGAAATCAAGGTTGTAAAGTACACGTCAAAAATGCAAAGAGAACAACGGCAAATTTAAGAAGGTTAAAAAAAAAAATTTAAAAAAAAGCTGACTAAATCCATTTTGAATTCCGAAGACAGTGCGCTTTTATTCTGATGGAGTTTCTGAATCTAAGAGATGACTTACTACTGTGGTTCTTATTGATAATGTTGAGCGGGTCGAAGCCTGTCTCCTGCTGCTCGTCTGCCTGGAGCGGGTGGCGGGTCTCGAAGTTTGGGTGCTGCATGGCCCAATCTGGGACAGAGAAGCCAAAATCAGTTTGGTAAAGCAACAACAGTAAAGCATATATCTGCTTTGTACCCTTCTAAATAATTCATTCGCTGAATAAGAAGTTATCTCACAAAACGTATCCAATATATTGAGCTTTTGACCTCTTTGAAACCTTGCCTATAATGCAGCAGTGACAAAGTGTGGTCGCGAAACAACATTCCAGATTATATGTTTCCCAAGCTTCTATCAAAAAGCGTCTTTAGAGAACTACACCACAGTGATGTCAACCTCTGACTTCTCAGCTAAAAGGGTGCAGGCAAACATTGCTTCCAACTGTAAATATTCCAGTTTGCAGTACTTACGGTCTCGTTAAGTCCCCTCAGCCAAGACTGAGAAGAAGAGGACGTGTCTGCATGGGTTGGGGGGGAGAACAAAGACGCTACTATCAGTGCGAGGTAACAGACTGCATGCAGAAGGACACAAAAGGAGTTTGATGTGAGAGAATTTAAGAGAACATGAAGACAGTGTTGCTTGAGCATACCGAGTCGATTTCCGAAATATGTCCTGACACGTTTATCCCAACTAACACATATTTGGTTAGCCTAAGAGCATAATTGCCAAACATGATAAAACACAATGCATTGAAAAAGCAAGAAAAGTCTCAATACAACCTTTGCAGATTATGACTCAGGATGTTTTCAAAGGGGAGAAAAAATGTTTTTAGCAAACACATTGGTGTTTTTATTGATATTATGACAACAAGTGAAAAATAACTTGGGCAATTATGCAATGAGGCTAACGATTTGACATTGAAATTGGTGAGTATTAGCTGCTGTGTGGGATCCGAACCTGCCTTAATGTCAATCTCTTTACTGGCTAGGAACATTTTGGAAAGGAATGCATTACTTGAGTATTTTCTATATTTTTTTTCATTGATTTTGTTAGTCTTGATACAAAGCACTGCGCTTGAAAGATGCATTCATAATACTGTATTAATTAATTTTACTTGACAGCATAGGTGTGTGTAGGCCATTTTGAGGGGTGCTGAAGACCTTCGAAACAACATGACTAACCCTCAAAATTTTAGGTCTTTCAATATTTATTTTTGTGGTCGTGTATGTTTTTAAGAAGGTAAAACACTGTATTAAAAAAAAAAAACATACCGTACTTGATTGAAACAAAATACTTGAGAAAAAAAAAAGCAGCTTTTGCTTATAAAATGGTTTGATCTACCCCACCCCTCCCATCCCTGTTTAATGGCTAACCTAGCCGATCTGCGCACTGTGCCGTCAGCTAACTTCCTTGAGGCAATGTGACAGCGCTTTGAAAAGGAAATGTGGCAAATGTATCATCAACCACTCAATACCAACATATTTTCATTACCAGTGTGCTTTACTTTAATCTGCATTTATTGTTCAGCCATGTTGCTAGTTAGAGGTTAGCTTAAGTTTTTTTTTTCCATGCTAGGAAACGTTACAGGTGGTCACAAGTCGACCTTCCCAAACAGTAGAATATTAAAACGTATAATGCTGCTATTGTCAAGCTAACCTAAGAGTGTGTGTGTGTGTGTGTGTGTGTGTGTGTGTGTGTGTGTGTGTTGTTAGGAGAGCCTAGGAGCAAATATATTTAATTGCTGCTGTTAACTGTTGGATCTCTATTTTATGGTTTGTTATGTGCTAATAACTTGCAGAGCTTTATGAGAAGATGACACAAAGTATCAAATGAGAAGAGATATTATTTTGCTAGATGACTACGACGACTAGACGACAATTTTGTTAGCATGGGATGATCCTCTCCTAATAGTTTCTTTTTTCAACCAATCATATCAGATAAGAAAGAAAGCAACGTGATGAATATCAATCCCCAAATATGAAAGAGGGGTAAAACTAAACCAACTCTCGTCTTAGTAGCTCAGAGAACTTTCTCGGAGAACAAAGGCAATCTAGGTTAACTAATTCTGCCTCTAGTCTTTATCCGGTTTGGGATTATCGTGCGTTTGTGAAAATGGCTAGCCTATTACAGCGGCCGACAGAATAGCGGCGGCTCCACTGAGCCTAATGTTTTCTTTCCATTTATTAATTGTGGAAATAAGACAACAAAGGAATCGCTTAAACCTATTAACCATGTGAATGGAGCAGTGTGCCATAAATCAGCTACACGCGTCATCAAAATAGAAATAATTGTATGCATGATGTATGCGCCTGTGTGCTTTCTTTGGACACATCCTCAAAACACTAAAACGGTCTTCAAAGTTCACCACCACCATCCCCCTCATGAAAATGATTAAAAGCAATTCATTTTTGCATGAAACACACTTGGATGGGTATTAGTGTACTCCACAATATTGGGGTGGAAAAATATGATTTTTCAATCACAAGCAACGTTGACTTTAAAAAGATCCAATGCTCCATTTTGACTGCCTTTGTGGGAGAGGAATTCATTTTACAATAATGGTGCCCCTTGACAGATACTGAACAATTCTTTATAGCTGCTTATTGCCACTTCTGGTTGACTGTCAAACTAAACATAAAACAAAGAGAATACAACTTTGCCTTACTTAAGTCCACTATCTTAATGCTAACGCACGAGGCAAAACACCACAATTAGGCTAGCTAATAGCATTGGTTTCGTTTCGTATCCTTTTAAACTATGGCTATTTGGACACGAACGGGGAAGCAGCACATGTAGACAGACTGCATCACAATACTCGCAGGTATATTGTCTTTATCCTCTAGAAAAAAAATATATTACTGCAAAAGATTAAGGACATTAAGTTTAAGCCTGTAAACAGAACGAATAAAACTCGTCTCTCAACACACCCCCCTATGTTTATTAGTTTGCAACCATTTTCTGATGAAATTTATATTACTGCAACAGATTAAGGACATTAAGTTTAAGCGTGTACACGGAACGAATAAAACTCGTCTCTCAACACACCTCCCGATGTTTATTAGTTTGCAACCATTTTCTGATGAAATTACTTGCCGCTTTTTTTTTCCTGCTTGACAGAACTTGTTTCTTAGCAGCCTGGGTCACACAAAAAGGATTCAAGAAACAAATCATCTTATTGTGTTACACTTTCCTGAAGGCATTGGTTACATCATGCACTTTAGCACGCTTAAAATCAGCGCGACCGCTGCACCGGGAGAGTTCTAAATAACTGGAAGCACAGATTTTTAAAGCAGTCAAATTTGACTGACTCCGTCGGAGAATGATGCACTTCGACATCACTGCAAATAATAACCACAATACTATAAGTCTGTTTTAGACGTGCAGATGTGACATGACATTTTTTTCCCTCCAGTTTCTTTTTTAACAAATGCTGAGTTTGTGATCATTTTCTTTCACATCCCTCTCATAACGTCGGTAGTTGCCATAAATACCTCCAGATCTCAGACCAACACTAAGCCTGTGTTTCCGCTTGATTACATCACAATCTTCAGAGTCATGAGAATTTTTGGGAATGGACAATCAGCTGATAGTTCAGGGGTGTCATCACCTCAGTACATTGCAAATTCAACAGCGTGGCCTCTTCCAAATGGTTTTGGGGTTTTTTTTTTTTGGTTTTTTTCCCCAAGCAGGCAGCCCACTTAAAAAAAAAAGACACTGTGTTCATTACATGATAAAGCACAAGGAAAAGCTTATTCGGAAAAGCTTGCTCCGAGCTCTTTGGAGCTGGGACTACATTTCCAACACAACATAGCAAAATGAATCAAGCCTATAGAATGTTTTTCTGAAGAAAAAAAAAAATGCTGGCGGTCGTTAGGGCGAGTTACAGAAGAATCACCATCAAGCTCAACTGATGTTGAACATTTTAAATGAAGCCTTTCATGCATCAACAATGATAACCTGTCACCTGATAACATGATCAGCTGTCGTAAGCGCTGTCCATGGAAGAGTTAACCTGATTCCCACCCCCCTTTGTGAATTTCAGCAAACAGCAATAAGAAGCGTGGTCCGTGGCAGGGAGCCCAGCTAAACAAACTCACATGCCTCTCCTTCAATATTTCGCTAAGAGCCCACGTATGCAAGGGGGGGGCCCTCGGCTGGTCACATGCTCCAAAAATCTGCTGAGAACGAGTGCAAAACCTTAAGCTTGGAAAATATCAGAAACTTGCCCAATCTGATTCAGTTCCAAAATCCATGACTGAAGAAGCAGGGCTTCCATGACATGGAGCGGCCAGATAGAATAGATCAATTTGGGAAAGGAACAAATAAATCGCTCATTTAGCAGAGGATTTGACCTTTTCAGCTGCCAAAATATCACACAAGTGATGCTGGGGTCTCAGAAAACAGTTTTGGTTACAATTCTAGTTCTTTCCTCATCTCTTTGTCTACAATGGATTCAGTTGACTGAGCAGCTGCAAGTAGCCAGGAGGAGGACACAAGTCTGCTATTGTCAGCCACAACAATAGTCCAAGAAGGTCCATTTAAACTACTATGTCCAGAAACATTTACATTTGATTTCACTTCATGGGTCCAAAAATGATTTCTGACAGAACATGGATCCTTGCTCAACACTCTATGCCAGTGATGTCTAGTAACAAACAGAATAATATTTTTTGTTTGTTAGTGTGCACTGTGCAGTGATTATCCTAATGTAAAACACATGCTTCGGCTCAATAAAGGTTGGGACTCACCCAAGTAGTTGACATTACTTACTTTACACATTTTAGGTGGACACAAATTCACAACTGCGTTGGCATGACTGTGAAGTGCATAAATAAGCGTCGACAGGTACCAGATCAATGGCCCAACACGAATCGACGGTTAGGGCGCCCCGCAAAAAAAAATGCATTGCCTAATTTGTGACCTGGACACACAAAAAAAAAACCCGTCATATATCGGTAATATAAATGCAATGTTTGACTTAGATGCACCGAGAACATTGATGCCAAGCACATTCATACGAACATGAAGGCAGCTAGTGTAAAACGCGGAACCACCATCAGCATTGCGCCAGTTTACGCCGCTAAAAAAAGATGTGTGTCCTATTTGGATAGAATACCAATTACACCTTACACATATACAGTATCACTATAAACGAATTGGGACTAAAGATTAAAGTAACTAATAAGCTATGCGATGTTAGCACAGCTATTAGCACGGCCCGTTGTTACTTCCGCCACACACGGCTAGCTAACTCGCTGCAGTCAAACTACGTGAGGAGTCGCGACAAAAATCTTTCGCGCACATAAAAATACTCACCCAAGTATTAACCGGAGAAGGGTAGTCCGTACACGACCATGTCTCTGACTGCGTTCTGTTCACAGAGGAGCCCGAATTCGGCTGTTTGGAACAGATGAAGCTTTGTAAACAGTCGCGAGGAGGTCAGGATGTGCAGGAGACCAGCTGACTCGTCACGTGGCCGACTTAGGAGTCTGCAGGTAAAGCACTTCAACACACGACGACGACTATTACGATTAATGCAATTACATACCTAACTACCGCAAAATTACTTGTAAATTATTTTTTTCCATAATATAGAAAAACAGACATAGTCATCACCATCCACCGCTCGCTCACACACACGCACGCACGCACACACACACACACACACACACACACACACACACACACACACACACACACACAAAAAACAACAACAAACAACAAACAACTGTGCCTCAGGCTCAACATTTATATTATATAACATCACACAAACAATTTGAAAGGGTACCTGAAATGTGATCAAACATATTGGCAATCACTGGCGTGTGGCTAATATATATATATATATATATATATTGTAACTGCAACAACACTTGACACCGGGTACTTTTATGGCACTCTTACTTTGACTTTCAGTGTTGTGTTTATCAAACAAGGAACAATAGATTTCACAGTAGATTAAACACAACGTGGCTGTTTTTGTCAATCATGATGCTCATTTAACTGCCTCGCGTTAAGATGCCAACGACACCTACATAGAAGGATCTCTACTTGACTACTCGAGGAATCATTACGACAGTTTGGTGAAGTTTGAATTATAGCCATTGATGCAGCGAGGCAAACTTAGCTTTGACAAGGGGCTTTTTACAAACGTTAAAGCGGATGTTGGGGGGAAAAGGGGACACGTTTGTTTGTGTTTGTGTGTGTGTGTGTGTGTGTGTGATAGAGAGAGATTTATACCACCTTTGCAGACACTGCATTTCACAAGTGCCATTATCTCTATTATTATTACTAATATTATTGTCGATGAGTCTTTTGTGACCCCTTACTGGCCTGATTAAAGTATCACCATGGAAACATCGACTTTCAGGAGCTAACTGGTTTGCACAAACTCAGAGGACTATATTATAAGAAGACTAAAAGGAGGCTAACGTGACAGTGACTGTGGCTGGCTGGCTAGCTAGCTAGCTAGATAGATAGAGAGCAACTGTAGCTAGCTGCCTAGCTAGCTACCTAAAAATAAACTTGCTACAATGCCAGTTAGTAGCAGCTCTCTATAGCATGAGGTAGCCTCAGGTATACAATGAAAATATAAAACCTCACAACCAAATATTTACTGAATATCGACTGCCTGTACTCATGAATACTTTTTTTAATATATCAGATGTATTCTGTGATTATTAACAAAACATAATTCTTGCTTGGATCACTTGGTATGTTCTTGATTCATTCAGCTTGTTTATTTATTGAGGACTGCAGTATACTTGCTGTCATAAGATTTTACGACATGTTATGATATCTTAAAAAAAAAAAAGAACTTGCACTTGAAACAGGGGCAATCATACAAAAAAAGGGAGGAGGGAGGACGACATAGCACATTTTCCATATAATTTTAACAAATGGAGTAGGAATATGCAAGACATGATAAGAGACGGACACACAATTCTGGTCTGAACGTTTTGGGAACGCTAAATGATAGCTACAGTTCTTTTCGTGATTATGCTATCTGAGCCTATAGGGGGCAAAAGTAGCTACATTGTGGGTCATCATAACTGCACATACAGTCAGAAAATGTGATACTGTATTTGGAATGTGACTCAAAGTACATAAACAGTTTTGTGAGTGTTCATACACCACAAGAGGGAAAAAGAGAAACAGCCTGTGTTGTAAACAACTGAAATTGATCTCGCAAGGATGCATCCGGACTCCGAACTAAGGCGAGGGAAGAGACGCATCTCATGGCTGAACATTATTAATTGAGTTCGACATACCGTAGGTCTCATCTTCTTCCTTCATTGTGGGAAGGGTCTGAGTACTAATATCCAGCCCTTTTAAAGTAATCATGTTCATTGTGCCACGTCTCACAATTAGTCTTTTTTCCTCATTCGTTTCTTCCGTTTCAGTCTTTACCTCCTCCTCCTGGTGCCGCTCAGTTCTTTCCACTGTCGTGGTCCTGTCTGCGCAGCCATGCGGGCTCTCTTGTCTGTGCTTTACGATCTGACTGCAGCGCTGACCCTGCTCATGCTGTCGACCGGATACGAGGTCTTGGCTATTGAAGAAGCCCCGGATGATGTGTTTGGGCAGATCCAGTTGAGCTGACAGGGTGTGGACCGCCTCCTCGTCTGGATTGAGGCCCACGTCTTGAATGAAGCTCTGCAAAATGCCCAAGGCTTCATGGGACACTCGTAATCCCACGTGTTGGACCTCACCTTCATGACGTGCCTCGGCACAAATCCCAAACCCGTCGGCGTCATCGTCCTTCAAAAATGGCCACTCCACTTGAATCTTTTCCTTGATCGTTGTTTCCTTTATGTTTTCTCCACCTTCAGTTTCCGGATCATCACTTTCGGCATTTGTCACTTTCGTCGGGTAATTCCAGTCGACCGCAAAACTGCCATTGTCTTCTTCTCCTCCCTCAACTAATTCCTCGCTATTGCTTTGGCCTTGCAGGCCGACTCTCAAAACCCCCCCGTTGCTTCCGGTCTCCAGCTCGGCGGGCGATGCGGTGCATGGTTGCCGTGGTGACAAATGAGGTCCTGCTTCTGGATGCAAGGGTTGGTGAGGTTGCAGATGGTGTGGCTGAGACAGCAGAGCGTTGCGTTGATACTCGGGGAGGAAGAAAAGATCAGTAGAATAAAGTAGCGAGTTGTCGAGTTTGAAAACAAAGACAGATTTAAAATATTCTATTCATGTTTTCAGGTTTAACCTTTCTATATTTAATAATTCAGAGCGAAAGTCGTAGGCAGATTGTTTGCCGCTATGATCAAATGTAAATATAAAATGGCGCCGATGTATTTTTGGAGCCTTACCAGTACGTTTTCATTGCCGAGGAGTGTACGTCTCTCAGTGCAGTTCTGCGCAGGATTTATGCTCTCCTGCTCGTAAATCGCATCTCTTTCGGTCTGGGGCAGGCTAAGGAAACGGCGAATCAGGCTCAAGTTATCCCACAGTGTTCGGTTCTCTGGACTGGGATCTTCCTTCCAACGAAGTAGCTCACACAGCCAGCCCTGCGGGACAGACCCACATATAATCGACAGCTCCTCTCATGTATTTGGAAAACTCCCCAAAGTGCTGTGCAACCTTTTCTATTTCGAACATTCCCATACGGTACGCGCACGGCTTAACATCGATCTCGGGTGTAAATCAAGAGTTTCCAGCGAAGCAAGTCCAGAAAATAGTACTTTCCTAAGTCTGCACGGGCTGGCCGCGACTCACAAATGCGTTGGCGACGCACAAAAACCATGGCCGCCGCCCAACGCCGGCGCACAATGCTATCCAGATGCGCGGGGAAGATAGAACAGAAAAGATGGGAGCACGGAAGTGCTTGCCAAACAGCCGGTTAATACGGAGCGAGATAGAGGGAGAGAGAGAGGTAAATAGAAGTATTGCCATCGAAGGGGAAAAGAGCCTAATGGGCGTCGGAGCACCTGCTTTTTACCACGATGACTGCTGAATGACCTCTATGCATCTTGATAATAGAAGACAATAAGCTGAAGGAGAGAATGAGGGAAAAACGAAAAATGAAGGAAAGCACGTTCCCTCCCGTTCCTCGGCGGGAAATTATCCGCCAAAACAAAAGCAATAACAAGCTTATGGGGCCGCCATAAAATATGAGAACAATAAACATTCATACCATGCCTTTGTGTGTACGTGCTGCGGTGCGTTTGTTTGCGGGCAGGCAGAAACGACGAGTGCGCGCGCATGCGCGGAGATTCCATACGGTCGATGTGGACATACATAGGAAGCAGAAAGTGTGTCGGTGCGACGATCAAAGCGATTGCTTTCGACACAATAGCGGTCGGATGTCTTCTATCGAGTACAGCCGCCGCTTTGTTGTCGCCTGGCCCTTCCTCGGCAAATTCGCTGCTCTTTCAAACGGTAAATCCCTCACAGTGCGGGCGTACCTGACTCTTGGATGCCGCCACCTTGGCGAACAAAGCCTGGGACACTTTAGCTCGCCTCATTTCGTGCTGGATCTCTTCGTAGATGGAGGCGCTGACGTTGAGAACGCAACTGTCTGTCCTCACACTTCGGTCTGTTGTAACTGGTGACAATCTGGCCTGCAAGAAGAAGGGTGGGGGGGGGGGCGTCATTGGATTTGAATACGTGCCCACACGGAAAGGGAATTAGCGGTTGTAAACTGGGAGCGGGCCAATCCAGAGAAAAGAAAGTAATTAAAAAGTGCATCAAGGATGGCGATAGGATCCACTTTTGGGCATATATTAAAAAAAAAAAAAAACAACTAGATATGTGTAGCCTCGTCATTTTCCTCTCCATTGTTGAATTCAAATCCTCACGAAATTAATTGGTTTGTTTGCAACAGCCTTGGCAAACCAGGTTACTAGTTTTTTTTTTTTTTTTTTTTAATTTTGTGTCTCATATGAATAACTTATCTTCTCCCCACGGGCCATAAATAGCATTTTATTGTTTTATTTGGATTCATTCATGACAATAGTTGAAAGGGGTCGCAAGCTTGATGAAACTGGATTTGACCAAGTTGTCCGCGAGGTTGCGCAACTTTACTCGGATTGTGCTCTCGTCTACTTACAAATTAGAATGGTCGCTGATAGTGTAGCGGTTCACTCGCCTGACTTTGCACTCAGATTTTGCAGGTGTGATGAAATATGGCTGGTAAATGTATCGTGATCAAACTATTTCACACCATTTGATGGCGGTGCCTCGATCGCGACTGGTGTCGTTTGACCATCAGGCAATTTTGTTTGAACCAAAGAACCGGTTTTAGTCTTGATTTTTAAGTTGCATTGTAAATATTGGCGCCCTCTTTGAGTTTTTTTTTTTGGGGGGGGGTGCGGGGGGAATCACAGAAATTAGCCTGAGTAAATTTCACTCAAGGGTGATTGGTGTGCGGATCGTTCACTGATTTAAAAAGCACTTGTTGGATGTGTAATTGGCGGTTGCCATGGCAATCGGAGCCAGGGAATGGGGAACCTCAAATGAATCGGGCGAAGTGACGATTTTAATGTGCTGATCAAGCGGGTCGAGGGTCTTGTCTTAAGATGACGCCACCCAACTGAAAGTTTGAATTTGTCTTCTTAGATTCTAGTCACGCGAGACATCGGTGCAGTTTGGTGCGGACAAAAAAAAAATTAAAAATCAGGCCTTTGGCTGACATAAATGAAAGTACAAGTACCGTAATTGTTTTGTTTTTTTGTTTTTTTTTTTTGTTTTTTTTTAGCCAAAGTGAGAGTCATCTCTTTTAATTTATAGTAGGAATACAAAAAAAAAACATTCTTTGGGATGTTTCTTCTGTTAACTGCATCGCGGGAGTCTTGACTTTGATTTAACTTTTGTTGAGCTATCTCAGTGGCACAAAGTGTATGACCCGAAGCTTAAGCTACACACAATAACATAAAAAAAAAAGGAATAAAATCAAGCCTGCAGGATAGTAATGTATGCGCATTGCAGTGGCACCACATAAATAAAAAATAATAAGCCCAGAGCACGGCAATATTTGTGCAAAGCATCGGCGTAATTACTGCGCATCGATTTCAGAGTTCTTTCACGGCGGCTTCGTGAGACCTGAGTGCATCTTGGCGGCGTGTTGTTGCAGCTGGGCGTGAATCCAGTCAGGCTTCGCTCTTTCTCCTCCTGGTAGAAGCGTTCTCGTTCCGCCTCGGGGAGTTGCAGGAAGCCGTGCATGGCCCTCAGGTTGACCAGCAGAGACTGCGAGGCATTTTTCGGGTCCTCCTCCTTTCGTAAAATCTCTGAGAGTAGGCCCTAAAGTCAACAAACGTGTCACATTCATTCACGCACTGTCGGTTGGAGATTTACATGCTAACCGATCGCGACCTTCTTCCTTTAAATCTAGGAATATCGATTCAATGCACGCCCCCCGCCCCTAAAAAAAAAAAAATGAAGAACCCTTTTCAATATTCCAAAAGAAAAATAGAATGTCATGTTTCCTCTCTTGCAATCAATAAGCTAACATGGAGCAAGTCACATGATCAATCCGCAACAGTTGGGTGGCTGCCTTGGCTCCTTGAACATCACAATGTACAATTGATAGTTGTTTTTTTTTTGGTTTGTTTTGTTTTCCAGAAGCTCTCCATATTCGACCGGACATGTCCCTCTGCAGATTAATATTTCAAAGCCGCGCATGCTTGTGAGCCAGTTGCATGCTCGCATCATTCCGGGTGTATCTCCAGTAGACGCGCAAGCCATCAAACTGATCTACAAATTCGAGGGATTTTTTTTTTCCCCACCCTGAAAAATGTTTCATGCTAAGAGATGGACAGCTCGGGAGGGAACAGGCCTGCTTGTCGTATCATCCTCCGATTCACCCGACGACCCCCCCGCCGCCTTTCCCAACAGAGTGGAGCCTTAAGATGACAAACGATCCCTTCCACTTCGAGATGGCATCTTGGAATGGCGCCAAACTTGTACGGATGATACTCGGGCACCCTGGAGCTGGCAATCGGGAAACATGGGCATGCATAATAGCTTGCTCTGCTTATTGTGATGAAAATGATAATGACGATAATAATATTAACAAGCCTCCTTTGAGCCCCGTTTCTCTGGGAGTGCCGCTGAATGTAAAGTGGCCTCGGCTAAATGTGGCATTTTAATATTAGAGCCGATATGAGATTTGGATATGAAAATGAGGAGTGGGGTGAGGGGTGGGGGGGGCAGGAAAAGATTAGAAAAGACAGATTGACAATAAAAGGTCAAATGAATAGAAACGCTGCCAGAGTGAAGGATGGCAAAATGGAGGGCGAGTGAAAAGAAAGCAGAGGTGGGAAAGGAGAAAGGATTTCTCCAAGGGGTTGTGATTAGGTAGCCAGCAGCTGCTTCAGTGTTGGCACCAGATTTTTGCTGCAGAGAGCTGGCACAACTATGCTTGCACATGCAAATGGGGGGAGGGGGGGCATTGCGGCAAAGGCCACACCGAAATGGCAACCGTCGACAGCCCGAACTTGCACCAAGTGGTAACGGTTCGGTTCAACTCTGGCTCACCTTGACCTGCCGCGAATTCGGACCGCGGCTTTGGAAGTCGGACAGTGAAAATGATAAGACAGCTTGAAAAGAAAAAAAAAAAAAACTCATCGATGTTTCAGGGTCCGACATTAATGGTGGCCCGTTGGCCCCGGGTCACGATGGCACTGTCTCAGGCCACCACATACCTTCCAGACGCGGTTCCAACCGGGGCAGTAGAAATTTCATAAATAAGATCATGAAATCAACAGATTCATTTTTTTTTTTTTAATACATGCAAAACAAAACCGAAATAAAACAGTAGCACTGAACTCACTTTCCCGGCGCCTGGCATACCTGGGTCCTGTTGAAAGCCACTCGCGCAAAGATGGCCTGAGAAATTCCCGCTCTCTTCATTTCCTCACGCACGCAGTGGTAGATGTCATTCGGCACATCAACCAACCCCAGACACGACCCGGCTGACGTCTGGTGTTGCGGCGCGGCCGGATGAGATCCGTCTTGGGCCTGCTGAGGGCCTTGGGGATCGGGTGCTTTGGGGAAGACTTTGGCTGGAGCCCTCCCTGCAGACGCGTGGTTGAGATATTGTTGTGAGGCCGGCGAGAGCCCCTGTCCCGTTAGCATGAGGCGTACGGCGTATTGCTGGTTTAGGATTTGAGTCATGACTTGCTGCTGAGATCTGCTGAGGGTCTGGGTGAGCAACCCGGAGTTGCAAATACTGTGAGGGGAGGCTCCGGCCACCATGTTGGCCATCCCTCCGTGGAGGTAAAGAAGGCTTGAGCTCTGATCGGATGCGCTGCCGTTGATGGGCGGCTGCTGCTGCTGCTGCGTGTTGGAAAGATGCGACGACTGCTCTGGGAAAGCGTCGATCTCTGGTGAAGAAAAGTGCAGTCAAGATGTACTGTCGAGTGGTAGAAATTTAACTCGTTCACTGATTCCGCTTGAAAGACGCCAAATCATCCGTTCGAGCCTCTGTTAGCCGATGTGTGACTTGGCTCGGCTTCTCAGACACGAGCGAAGAAGAGTTTCGCAACTTCTGTAGTTGACTCTGTGACTGGAGTAATATTTCATTTTTTTTCCCCCCACACAGGATTCATAATATAGGCTCATGATTATTGTTAAACAGAATATTCGTTAGCCTGTCTATGGCATTTCCCACTCTGTTTTAGCACAACGCTAGCGCCCTTCAAGGCAAAATCTTCTGGTTGTTTTGAATGCAAAAAGTGCACTTTTTTCTTTCCAGTTTAAGTTTAAAATGTACCGATCGATTCATTTTGAGACGTGCGACTGACTTACTGTTGCATTTGGTTGTCTTGAAGTGTTTATACCATCGTCCAAACTCCTGACATTTGGCCGTTGAAACGTTGGCGTAGTAGGTGCAATTGACTATGGATGAGATCATGCTCTGAAACATGGAAAGGACAAAAAACGGGCGCTCGTCACGTCGGCATCACGTCGGCGCGGCAGTGCGGCTCGGATGTTCACGTATCTGATATTAATGCACTCACGTCTGGGTTATTAAAAAAAGAGCCCAAAGGTAAAGACAATAATAAAGACGGATCAGGGTGTGAGCAGTGCATGGGTGCCTGCATACAGTACATACCGCACGTGAGACATGTAGTCGGGGGTCTCTCTCTCTCTCTCTCTCACTCACCCATTTTCCCTCAAGACCATCCTGCGCAATCTTTACATCCGATTACACCTTTCATCTTCTCATATTTATTTTAATCTGTGTCTAGCAAATAAGCAGGGAGAGAGAAGACGGGGGAGGGAGGACTTTGCTCATCTCAGATCTTCACACCAGCTGAGATGGAAAGAAGACGAGGAAGATCGGAGATAGCGAGCAATTTCTCTTATCTCGGTTGTCCTAAACCTTCGGGGACTAACAGATTATGTTGATCATTACCGCTATTCGTAGTTGTCTACGTTACAAAGAGAAAAAATTGAGATCGTAATAGATGGACAGAGATCGTCTATTTCAGTCACGCGCACACTCCCTCACAACTTATCTGGCACCGCATCCAAACTTCCCGTCTAACTATTGGCCCACACAGTCTGTCTTATTGTCTGCGATAGGTGCAAATGCACACACACACACACACACACACACACACACACACACACACACAGGTTTGTGTGCGTATGTTATACCTGAGACAAAGGACACTCCTTGGCCAGTGAACTCTGGTTCATTTCCTTGAGAAGTTCCTTCAGCGAGTTCCGAACAGTCGAGTGCGTCCACTGCTCCGCCGGCAAGTCCTCCAGTTTGGGGCAGCTGGACAAATGACATTATTTGTGTCTGTTGTGGCGTAGGATTGCTTCCCCTCTTTTGCATTCTAATCAATTGAGTTTGACAAGTTCAAGGTCACATGATCGAATGAAAAAGATTTTATAGAACACTCTTTGGACATGAAACAATCCGGCGGAAAGCAAAGCGGCGTGTAAAACAAATAGGAATCGGGATTTCCCACGTACCTCTGCAGTTGTATTTTAAGGGTGATGACATGGTGGACATCCTGGAGCATCTCAGCCACGGTGGCGTCTGGAGAATCCGTCACACTCGAAAGAGGCAGCGGGTTCCACCTGCCCACCTGGATCAAACCTGACACACACACAAAAAAAAGCACTACTGTGTGATAGCGGATGAGCGCGAGTGTACATGAGTCCTGTCTTCTTTCTAGATTGCGTATCGTGTTTGTCTGGATCCTGAGTCTGGAATGAAGCGATCCGTGATGCACTGAGCGGACCGCTTCGAGGGTTCAAAACCAACGGGTCTCCTAGTTTCTGCTTTCAAACAACCAGATTTGTTCCTGACACAAAAACTTTTGCCGAGTGTTTGAAAAGTCTTTGCGGAAACACCCACTAGACACTTCATTAGGTACACTTGCACAACATACCGTATCGGCTCCGTTAACGCGCAACGTGTGTAAGCGCTACCATCCAAGAGGATAAGACGTGCGTCTTGCACCTTTGGCCTGAGCGGCAGAGCTGTGCGAGTATCCCAGCGTCAGCAGGGCCATCTCGATGAGCTGGTTGAAGAGCAGATCTCTCTTGATCAGGACAAATTCGGCATGGTCTTCTTTCCTCTCTCCCTCCGCGGGACTCTCCGTGTGCTCCACCACGCAGAAGACAGGCAGTGAGCTTCCTGACGTGGGAGTCGAGAACATAATGGACTGAAACACCTTGCAGGGATGCTTTATTTGGGGAAATATCGACTCGCTGGAACAAACTCCCAATTTATTTAGATAAGAATTATCTTGCCTCTTAGCATGCAAAAGTCATGGGAAAAAAAAAGGCGAGCTGGAACGTTTGCAATGCGAGCCCGAGGGCACTTTCGCATCAATTTCAGTCGACAGCAGGGGGCGGTAAAATGTCAAAATGGCATCCCCCTTGAGATCAGGTGAAAACGGATGGATTCATCTGTTAACTTCTTATTCCACCCCAACGCAATTTTGATTGGATTACAGACGAGAACATATGATTACTCAAGTTCCCCTTTGAGAACAAGTGCTGCTTCACATTTGGAAACCGTCCCCGCCCCCGGTGTTTAGAATTCAGAATTTATTAAATTTTACCTCTTGGCTGATGAGAGTTCTTGTGCTGATGCCTTCCCGTGGTGGTTTTCTGGACCAGATAAGAAGGGTTTTTAGTCCCGGGGCTCGCCTGCTTGCTTCTCTCTTGCACGGTGCTTCCAACTCCATGTTGCTCCAGACGGGCCATCTTGGCAGGAGGGGGCCTCAGGTCTGTATTGGGATCTGCGCCCTCTGGTTTCTTGGCTCCGTGACACAGGGGGTCCATCTGTGGAGTCACGCTGCATACACAAAAATCGTTTGCGGCGAGTGCACCAGGACTTGGGGGTGAGGGGGGGAGGGTGTCACCGTTCGTGCCCATCAAATAAACACACGCATGCAAGCGAGATTGTAAACTTTGCAAAATTGCTGACGCGGTTTTCTATCGCTTCCGATTAGATTTCAAACGATATTAGAATTCAAATTGAACGAGTAGCCATACTTAATGACCTTCCCTCGGATGCATCGATTGGGATCATCTCCAAGAAAAGTGCCAGCATTTTCCAAAACAAACCTGCTCTCGTGCCACAGCACCCACCCACGCGCAAACGTGTCCCATGGTCGATGTTATCCCTGAAAGTTTACTCGAAACCAACCGTTTAGTCGCTTACGCTCTCCCTGTCGCACACCCGAGCCCAGAATATCGCCACAATCGCGCCTCCGATACCAGCGCCGCTCGTCCGATGAAAACGTCGACAACGTCCAAGTAGTTTGACTGTACCTCCGAACACCCTCCTCATCGCTCCGTTCGTCCGCTCGGCTCCTCGTCGTGGCGCGAAGGTGGACGGGCGCGACGGGGATCGGCTCGGTCCTCTCCCGCCCGTGCCGAGAACAATACGCGGTGCGCGTTCAGCCTGCAGTCTGCAGCCTCTTCTCATATTTATAGGCGTGCACACACGGCCAGTTGTTTTCCTGGTTCTCCTCCAAAGACCACAGTGCACGCTGGGGGGTGGGAGGGAGGGGGAGAGAGAGAGAGAGAGAGATGCTCGCGCACACACACACACACACACACACACACACACACACACACCAGCTGCATTAACATATGGTGTAATAATGAATTCACTAGCGCGCTCCATAAATGTATTAAAATGCGACGATTGAGCATAAATCTCTTTCCTTTGAATTCTGCAGCATGCTGTGCACGCCCGTAAGTAACATTTATGGGTTTGTTTTTTTTTGGAGGGGGGGGGCGGGGGCTTTAGGCTATTGGGGCTCTTTATGGTCACAAAGTGGATGAGAAACAAAGGTTGACTCTAGTGTACGATAACGTGTTGTTTTCACTTCCGGTCACTTTTTAGCGTTTCTTTGCATCAGCAAAGAAAGCATCACAAGGTTGACTATAAACATTGTTATTGTACTAGACCAGGGGTGCCCATTACGTCGATCGCGATCGACCGGTAGATCGCGGACTGGTTCCAAGTCGATCGCCAGGGCTGTAGAGGAGAAAAAAAAAAACATTTGTGTGTCTTTGTGCATGTTATAAATAGATTTTTTTGTATTAATGTACACTGCACCCTAATCATCCTATCAGTCTCATTTTCACAAAAAGTATTGAAAAAATAAAACAGGTAAATCTTTGACCTACGTCACCGGAAGTTGTTAGCGCTCAGCAGTCTGCGATTGCAGCTTGTGATCAGAGCGGTTGCGCTATTTCTTTTCTCGTTATCATTCTTCCCATTCAGAGTTTGTTTAATGGGTCGATCGCGGGAGGTTGGTTGATCGAAAAGTCGATCTTCAGTCCAAAACATTCTTGACTGTACACTGTACTACACTATTCTCTTCCATGTCTATGATACTTTACTACACACTCGACATTACGAAACAGTATCAAAGCATTGAGTTGACACTACAATAGTCGTCTTTGTACTGCACTGCGCTGCGTCAGACGCAACTACACTACCTTCTCTCCACTCCTAGGCCCATCCAACTTTTACAAAAATGTCATCATAGCAAGTGCGCTGTCCCTTGAAACGTCACATTGAAACCGAATGGCTTCATTTTTTCTTGATTGCAGGTCGACTTGTGCTCACGGGGACCCGGAGGAACAGTGACGTCCTCGCGGACCGCCGCGATGTACTTCGCAGACCTCTACTATTGCAATCCTCAAGTAGAAGCTTGAAGTTCCGTGAAGGTTTCATAAAGTAACGAGCCCATTTGTTTCTCCGTTTGTGTGTTGATGTACGGCCAATCGCAGATGCTTCAGCAGAGAGAGCACGCTCGACTACTTCTGACTAATTCAACAAAGTGAATTAGCAACCTCTCCAGCCAGAACGTGCTATGCCTGGTTACACATCATTCGTTGTGACTAAAATAGAGAGAGAGAGAGAAAGAGACATCACTGATTTTTTTTGTTTTGTTTTGGGGGCGGGGGGGGTATATGTGTGGCGGTATCTGTTTTGGGGTTACATGCTAACATTATATGCGTAAATGTCCCCTTGAGTGTTGAGATGTAGCCGTTATTCTCTCCCACGTCATGCTATTTTATGACCGGCTTGATATGTTGTCAATGAGGCTGGCACGCTAAATGATAATTAAGGCCATTACACGCTCACTGAGCATGTTACCAGTGCATGGCACCGAACGCGGAGCACTGGCAGCTTCGTCTCGGGAGACACCCGATGATTCGCGCAGTCGTGTAGCTCTCCGAATTAGGTTAGAGTTTCATTGCGTTCGGTAAGGCTGTGAGGCGGTTATAGAGTCATGATATGCTTGCTGAACCCAGTGCGAAATTTGAGACTTGCATTTGCCTGTTTTTCTTTGGACTTCTATTTCAACACAGATTCACAATGGCATACTTTTCATACTGGTAGCCTTAACATTCATTAAGACCATTGATTGGAGAGCGGTGCCATACAGCGTGACTCTTGGCTCATCAGACCACATTAACTTTATCCATAGCTTAAAAGTCCAATCACCTTTTCTGTCACACTTTCATCTGTTAATTGTGACTAATAATTGTCTTCCTTAAGATAAGCCACAGCTGTTGCCCCTAAAAAAATGAATAAAGGTGGGAATAAAAAAAAGGGCCTTTTTTGGCAATTCTAGCAACTTACCCATCACACCCATTTTATATCCTAGCATTGAGTGTATTTGTTTACTTCATATTTTCGTCATAGTTTCATTTCTTAACAGTATTTGAATTTAATCTGAATTGTAATTATGTTGGAATTGTAACTATGTTGGTTTCACCTGAGTTAATTTAATGTACCCAATGATAATTATGACATGTTGATGGATAAAACTGCATTTAACAACAGTAAAATATCCAAATAAATAATTCGGAACCAGGAATCTAATAACCAAGAATGCAACAAGCAAGCAAGCAGCTCATTATCGACATATGGTGCCTTTGAGACGTCTCCATTTCAACCCCCCCCCAAAAAAAAAAATCTTCAGTGTTTTTCATTTGAAATACACATTGGTCAAGCTCCCACATTAAAATAATATCATCATAATAATGGGAGTCAGACAATGTGCGTGAAAACCGCCAAAATATAACAGAAGCTTCAGGGTGGGCAATGACAGGGCGGACATTTTTGGCTAATGTTAGCATTTAATATTTGCAACATGATTAGGTTGGCAAGCTACTTACTACGAACAAGTATTGTTAAAGCAATGTATTTCAAACTTCGGAATGTTGTTTTTTTTTAATGCCAGTTAATTCTGACACGATCATGACAACACCTAAGCACTCGCATAATAGGATGAGAATGACAAAAACATGAGAGATGAATAATGACGAAACTTTACTGATATTGGTCAAAGCTACATTTCCTTCCATCAGCAGCAGAGGGCGCAGTCTGCCATGATATTTTGACCACTTGCTTGTTTTGTGGATGCCGTGCACGAACCGTGCTCTTCAGTATACCTCCTTCAAAAACTTTCACCATTTTATTTCTCCGCAAGGCTCCTCCAGCACAGACTAGTTCACTCATTTGTGCGGCAGCAGTTCTCATACAAAGATTGCCAGTGACAATGATTCATCTGAAGAGGTTAGGATCCAGTCACTATAGTATCACGTGCCCAACAACAAAATATCGGCTAATAAGAACCAGCAATTCTCATACAAAGATTGTCAGTGACAATGATTCATCTGAGGAGGTTAGGATCCAGTCACTAGTGTCACGTGCCCAACAACAAAATATCGGCTAATAAGAAAAGGCAAAGGCAAGTGAAGTGTGACGTGCTGTCATGTGCTCAAACATCAACCGCTGTTGTGTCCCTCAAGTGTGCAAATCGTGCAACAATCAAAATGTCATTGTGGAAAAAGGGCAACAAGCGATATTCACTCGTGTGTGTGTGCGCCACTTAGCTGAGAGTCTGCCGCCATCTTGCCGGACCTATGCTCTGCGCTTGATGAATTCCCCCGTGTACACTTTTTTTTTTTAACAATCTACCCCCTGTGCACACCTGTCTCCGATTCACCTGCAGGTCTGACGTCACGACCGCCAATCCAAACCAACCTTCTTCTGCTGCTTGTCGCAAATGATAAATTGTCGCTATCTCCTGGTCAGTATGAACAATGATGTCGATAATACAAAATAAATAGATTTTCCTTAGCTGGTATACAGTACTGTATTTGTTTTAGATTCACATCCGTTAATTTGAAGGACTTTTTAGCACTTTACCCGGTCTTTGGGTGAACTTGGAGCTTTGCAGTGGTGCTTTTTACACCACTATTCATAAAAAAATTCAATGCCTGGTCGTTTGTTTGGTTGTCATTTTTTAAACTCGATTCTCAAACATGCGCAGATGAGATTGTGCCAGCTCGGGCCTGAGACAATTGGGGCAAGTACGGCAATTTGGCTATCATTATAAAACAACACAGTCATCAGGCGCAACGATGTCGCCCTCTCCTGGTCATTATGAGAAATACTGACGATTAAACAAGCGAGGAACCCCAGGGTAACGCCATTTCGCTTTTGAGGCAATGGGAGAACGTTATACAGTAGTTGGCCTTTTTCAAATTTAATTAAGTGAGAAAGCCAACATCTTTCCTCACCCAAAAATTATGTAAAACATTGCCACCCATAGAAGGGAAAGAGTAAATGCGGTCTTTCAAGGTTGAACGCAAAGCTGAACGAAGGGAAGCGCAACCGTATAGAATACAACTCCTGCTTTTCCTTTCGCTTCGCAGATACACAATAAGGGATCAATTTTCTGCGATGATCTTGCTGTCAAGTGGCAAAAAAAAAAAAGAAAAAGAAAATGTCAACCCCCTGTTCGAGGAGGAGGAGACGGGGTCATCGGCAGATGCTGCGGAAGCTTCATTTGATGGGACATTGGGGGGGGGGAAGCCACCATTCATCTTCGCCTCTGACGTAGCTATTGTTCTGCAACACGATTGCGGCAGCACAGTTTGTCTCACAGCACACACGGGAGCAGCTCAGACTCATTTATCAAACGCGCAAGTGTCGTGTGAGCTCCGCCGCCCCATTCACGTCCTTTTGTCTCCAACGCAAACACGGCAGCCGGCATCTCTCACACACAAACGCTAAAACATACACTTTCGTGAATCGGCGTGGCTTGGCTGTACACGCAACCAGTAGAATAGTATGCTCAGGTTTGGTAAGGGTGACAAATATATATCTCTCATGCGCACAGAAAACCCGACATTCAGCAATAAATAAATAAAATCTCAAGGTTTGGTAAGGCCGACAAATATGTATCTCTCATGCGCACAGAAAAACCCGACATTCAGCAATAAATAAATAAAATCTCACACACCTAAAAAACACACCAAAAAACCTCCAGGCCACTCCAACCAACAGGCACACATCACATAATTGAAAATAAGTACACAAAAAAAATTTCATACGTTCAAATCCTAGGTGGTGATTGGATAGTGGTTACTACTATGCGTTGCGGCTGCAGCCATCCCGGTTCAAATCCTGGTTATGGCTTTGTGCAAAGAGCATACTTGAGTTCTTCTCCCCGGGCCTGCGTGGGTTGTCTCCAGGTACTCCGATTTCTAAAAAAAAAAACAATAGACCCTGACTTCTGACTTAACAGTCATGTTTGTCATTTATTAGCATAGCAATTCTTGTACCGGATATCAAAATCTAAAAGGGAGGGTAAAACGATTGATTCCAGTACATTCCATGTGCAAGGTTAGTGTCATACATAACCGACTGGACACGAATGCAAAGCAACAGAAAACCTCCTGGGAGGAGAGTCGGGATCCCGCTTGTGTCGTCCGACAAAACCGGCACTACCTCGTACAATACAGAACCGCTATCCTAAAGTCTTGCATTCTTCAAGGTAAAAAAATACATTATTTTGGTGTTGATACATTCATATAAATATAAAAGTCTTAAATATTGTGCATTTCTACGTGAATATTGCCTTTGTTCTTCCCCCGGTGAGAAAACGATACGTCGTAGCCGCAAAACCCTTGATCGGAAATCAGCGAAGCAGCCTTCGACGTGGACCGTGAACCAATTTATTATGGGTCTGCTCCAACAAACAGGGATGCATCTGACGACTTTAGGCTTTGAAATGACCTGGCTTTTTTCAAAAAGCAACACACATCCAATAAAGAGGCAACGGTAAATGTCACGTTTGGTTATTAAAAGAGTGTTTCATTTCAATAGAAGGATAAAACGGGCGAGCTGGTTTCCCCTCGTCGGGACATGCGGCATATGTATGTGAATGTGCGTCTACAGCAAAAAAGTGCTCGGAAAGCATGCAGAGAGAGAAAAGGAAAGCAAGGAGGACAGAGGCGGTGTTGGGAAAGTGGGGGAAAGCTTGGGAAAGAGCCAGAGAGGGAGAGGCAAAGCCTGCTTAGTGTGACAGACGACAGCAGACCCCCGTTCGAGTTGCTCGAGGCCAACGGTAGCCAGCACCCGACTCGACTCCCCCCTTCCCCGAGGACCAGTCGTAAAAGCGCACAATATGTCCAGCCTCTTGTTCCTCATCCCTCCAACGCGGTGGATAATTAGGACCAATCGGGGGTGGGGGTCCTTGGAAAAGAGCAGTGAGAGTTGGGGAGGAGGGTTGGTTGGCTGAAGATGGCTTTTGTCACCAAATGCCCGCCTCCATTCAAGACTTCCCACCTTGTTAAGGGTTCCTCAGAGGTATTGTCTTTCGTAGCCTTCGTTTTGACAGCGCGGGGAGCACACCCGCTTCATTTTGGCCCTGAAAACGGTATAAAATCGTGGAGTCCAATAATAAAATCGCACGGGTAGAAAGAGTCGACCGTGTGTCTATTGCTTCAAAATTGTAAGGTGCCTCAGGGGTTAGTTGGGTGGCAGAAGAGGGGTGCGGGGGGAGGGGTCTGGTTTGTTTGCCATCAACCTTTCAACCCTGTCGTAATACACACGCTAAATTGCTAGGGGCTAATGCTAACAACTAATTTGTTTTCATGCAAGTGGATTTTCTCATTGCGCGTCTCCAAAGCAAAGCGTGACCTTGCCTCCCTGCAAAATATTATCATCCAATGATGTGATCATTCCCAGAAAAAAAAAAGAAAAGTTTACGGAGAGGCCTGCTATAAACTCTTCGTTTGGTTCTGGTAGATCTGCATGAGTCCACACTGAGGGGAGCGCCCGGAGCTCCACTGAGGGTTTACGCCACTCCCGTCCTGCGGAGGTGGACCGCGTACCCTTGACCTGATAGAGGTAGAAAACCCGTCTTTGCATCGGTGGGTCTCCGGTGAGCTGAAAGGCGAGGAAGTCACGCGTGCCTCTGCCATGATGGAGGAGGGTTGCGCTTGAAAGGGCCTGGGGGCGTACCCGAGCTGCGGCTCCCGGGGCGTATGCGCGCGGGAGACGGCGCGGCACGTGGCTTGGGGCCGCGAGGGGGGCGTGTCCGTCCAGATGGAGGGAGTCTGAGAAGAAGAGGGAGGGCAAGGGTAGCACGGAGGAGGGTCAGTGTGGGGCAAGTGAATGCGGTGCGAGGAGCACGCCACCGTTGTTTGGGGCCCGGATGACATCAGGGTCTCCATGAGCTGGGCCATCCGCTTCATCACCTGGCCCAGATCCGCTACTTCCCTGCCTAGGTTTAGCACCTGCCAGTTCAAACAAAAACAACATGTGAAAGCTCATGTGCGCTCTTAACGCCAAAGGTGACAACAAAGGGCATTTTTCAATTTTAGTTTTTGTGTATTGGATCAATCTGGTGTTGGCATTTTCAAACGATCACCTCCACAACGTCCCTAGAAAATCACCATGTCCCATCACTAGAGAGCAATTTTTTTTTCCCAATAGGCCTGTGGGCTGCTCTGGTGCTCCTTGGGGTTCATCCAACCCAGTCGTCTTAACGACCTCCCTCACGTCAGTCAATCTATTGAGGAATCTATCAACTAATGCCATTAATGATATGCGTGGCGAGGCGGGGAGGTGCCGTGCCCCTGCGTGTCGACAGAGGGCCATGAAGCCGTGCCAAGGCGCCATCTGTCTCTGCCAGTTGGAGCGCTCATTGCCATTCATCAGGTCAATCATGCGTAGCCAGCAACCGGGGAGAGAGAGAACACCAGCCCTCCCAGCATCACCCGTTACCGCGGGTGGGAAGCGAGATGACCGCTCAGTTATGACCGACGCTCACCGGCCACAATATTAGGGACACCCGCAGAGACATCCTCGGCCCGGATAAAGATGACGCTTAGACCGACGCCCTTGTTCAGGTACGAAGCGGACGTCTTCAAGATGTTTAGGTGCTCACACACACTGCCGCAATCGACTGCAGCGGCTAACGAAAAAGCCCAAACCCAAAGTCGGCCTCCGATAAAAATAGAAACGGTGAGAGCGACAGTTTGATCTGACGCGCCGTCAATACGCTGGCAGTTCTGCTTCGCCACCTCAGGGAGGGGAATTGCGGGAAGTGGTCAGCCCTGCGAGCGGCAAGGAAAAGCGTAATCATGAGATGGTAAGCGGCACCGGTCACAACGTGAGGCACACCTGGACTATCTCATGGGATCGATGGCAATGCTTGTTTGGGGACACTTCCTCTTGTTTCCAGTACTGTCTGTGGACGTTCGATTTGCGCGCACACACTTGCCTGTTGGTTGAGATGTCGGAGTTGTCCTCTGGTGTCCTCCGCTTTTGCCGCTAATTCCGCCGTGCTGATGTGTGGCATTTCTGTGACCAAAAAAAAAAAAAAAAAGGGGGGGGGGGGGGGGAGTCCCAGGAGTGCTGACGTTTTTTTAAAACAGCATCTGGCAGTGAGAAATTCCAAAAAGCCGCATGAATCACCACTAAACAGGCCAAGGCAAGTAAGCATTTTCACGTGACTGTGCACGAGATGGAGTGCGCGATGTGGAGCACCTGTGGTGGACGCTGAGGCACTGGTGGGATCGTTGTCATGGCAACCGCGGTGGCAAGAGAAGCCAGGGAACGGCAGCAAACTTTCCGTCCCGCCGGCGTCCTCTGTTCCGTCCACTATTCTGCACGGAGGAAATAATGTGTGAGCGTAATCGCGGCAGGCTGAGGTGTGAGCTGTCAAAAAAAGAAAAACTCTCGCAGCTTTCATTTCAGCAAGTGAAAACTTGAACTTTCGGTTCCTTTCTTCATCTTCACAGCCGTGGCTGCAGGGGAGCATCTTCCTTGACCTTAAAAACAATTGCTCCTCGTTCACCATTGTAGGAATCTCATTTTGGCTTTTGCTGTGACTTTCCTCGGCACTTTGACGTGAACCGAAGCAAGACAGCCACTGCCTTTCATTTTCTTTTCCTGTCGCTCATCAATGGGGGGGGGGGGTGTCTGTTGCATGATGATAA